CTCTGTAGCTGTAGCATGTTGGTTTAAGTTGTCAGTGACATGGGTACAGAAGGATATTCTAGCATAGGGTTTATCATCATCCTGTACAGGTGTTTTTTGATGTGGGAAGTGGCTTAATTAAACCTGTATAGACTGCTGAGGAGTGGAGTAATCTATCTCGTATCCCAGGATCTTGTTGGGGTTTCTGATGGCAATAGGTGTACCTCTGATGGAGATATCTCCCTTTTCTTCTATAGTTATTGCATAACATCCAATGGTGCTGATGAGGACTTTTTCTGGTTTGGTCGTGATTCTCGATTTCTTCATAGTTCGGTATTAATTTTTTCTATTACCGTCACATGCTTATGTTCTCCCGTTATGGGGGTAGATGACACTACATGGATAACATCATCAGCAAATTGGGTGATGATAGTATCACTGAACTCGGGTTGAGAGAGATCGTTTACATATATGTTGAATAGTATCTGGCCTTTCACACCGACAGCTGGAGTGCCTTGTGGAACTCCAGCTGTCGGTGTGAAAGGCTCTGTCGACTTGCCTTTAAAGGTAGGGATGATTCTTTTTTTTCTGATAAGAAGTTGTATATGAATCTGAGAAAAGTCCAGTTATGGTCAGGAAGGTCGACAAGTTTAAATATGAGTCCGTCGTTCCACAAGCTGTCAAAAGCTCTGTGTACATCCCTGGCTGCAGTTAGGGCAAGGTTGCCCTGTTTCCTCAGGCTGTCCACAACATCGAAGATGATGTTGATAGCTTGTTGGGTTCCTCTCTGGCTCCTGAATCCAAACTGTTTTTCAGTGAAGAGGTGATTGTACTCTAGGTAGTAGTATAATCTGCTGGAAATGATTTTCTCAAGGACTTTACCAGTGACTTCAAGTAATGAGATTGGTCTATAGTTCTCCGGTTTGTTTGTCTTTGTTGGGTTTTGCAATGAATATCATCCTTGCTGTCTTAAAAGCCACTGCAAAGTGTCCCGAAGCCAAGATGGCATTAAAGACATTTACCAGAGACATTTTGCAATTTCTGGGTAAGAACTTTACTTGTTTCACTGTTATACCTGAGAGGCCAGGGGCTTTATTACTCATTCTGCCTATGACTTGACTCATAGACAGAATGAGTGTGATTGGTCTTGTAAGGGGGTGTTCATCTTCAAGAGTAGATGTATCAATTAATGGTATTGGTTGGAGGTCAGCGAGGTTGTCGTCTTTCCATTCTTTGACCCACTGGTAATGTTTATTATTAAATTTTCTACTATCATTGTGTAAGAGAATTTTCTCCCACACATCACCCATCAGATTGGCTTGGTCTTGTGGGTCATCAAGTTTTATATCAACTTCCTCTTCATCGTCATCGGTGAAGGAATGTATTAGATAATGGGTAACCTTGTGTTTTGTCCCTAGAAGCTGGTGGATCTTGTTCCAGAACTTTTTAGGTTGACGTCTGTATTGATTAGCTTGAAGAACATGATATTTCCATAATTCACTTTTGTGTTGTGTGATCAGGGTAATTAATTCTCTTCTCAGCCTCTGTAGTACAGCCCTTGTGGGCTCTTTCGTTTGATGGTGCCTTCTACACTCTGCTTGATAATTTTTCATGCAGTCCCTAATTGGTTTATATTGCTGATAGATCTTTGATGCATTTAACTGACAACTTGCATGAGTGGCCTCTATGATTCTTTCGTGGAAGGGGCTGATTGCTTCGTCAATTGCAGCTGAAGGCTGGTTCTCAAGCGAAACAGTAAGGTCATTGCATAAGTAGTCTCTGAAGAGGTCAAATCCTCGAGTTTTTAGGTTGGGTTTCGGAGGAGTGGGTATTCTAAAGGGCGATGCTTGTAGCGTTATTATAACAGGGATGTGGTCTGATCCTACGTTTCCACCAGAGGAGAGACTGCAATGGTATAGGTCACAATCTCTGTTGGTTAAGACTATACCAGGTGTCCCCGGATGAGGGCCAACATATGACTTAATTAAAGAATAGGCCTTGGAATGATAGATTTCTTGCTGTCATTATATTAAATATTTGTTTTCCCTTTAGGTTACCCAGCGGATGTCCGGCGCCTCAGATGAAGAGTGCGGGGTGATGGGCACTAAAATCTCGTGCCAGGATTGTTGGAACATTTCTACTCAGTTTCTGGTGTAGGGGAATGAACTCTATATATAGCTGTCTTGGAGGAAAATATCCAATTCCAACTATTAACTGACCATATGTGGTCGTCAGTTCTGTTGCTATAATGCTGTCTTCGTCAATATGGATGTTACGAAATGCATATCCTAGTTTCACTAGAACGACCACTCCACTAAAGGGCCCTCTCGATTTCTCGACAGTAGAGTAACCACATATCTTTATATGTTTGTCTGCTCTCATTCAGAAGGATAATGTCAAGATTGTGATTGTGTAATTCAACTTCAAGGTGAAGTTTGCGTTTTTGCTGCGTACAGAGTTGGTGTCTGAGATCATAGCTGCAAGGTGTGTGCAAGCTCTCCCTACTCATCAAGGGGAGGACTGTAGTCCTGAGTAGTTTTCTGTGTACCGGCTATTTTATCTTCCTCACTGCTGCTGGTGATATTAACCGATGCGTTAGACTCATCATCTGACAACTGTGGCATGACATTCACAGCCTCAGTCGCCATATTCACAACACTTACTGTATGAGACAGTGGGAGCTCCATGTGGAAATGTGTAAGTCCACTTGGGGTATCACTGGAAACTACTTGTACTTTTGGGCCAGCTTCTACAGCGGCAGATTGTGTATCAGTGTCTGGTGTAAGTTCAGGGGCAGTTATTAACTCTCAGCTCTGATCAAACTAACACTCAGGATAACCCAAAAAATTGTAACTGTGGGTCTTAGTGCTCGGAGTGAAAACACAGACATCCTCTTGGTGCGCCGTCCACTTGCAGAGTCCCGTGTGTCTCAACTGAGGCCATATGTGTGTGTGAACGAACGAACGAATACGACCTGAGCTGCGGTAAGATGGGGAGGAAGAAGGATGGGGAAGGATGGAAATACTGGAAAAGGGTGGGAGGGTGGAGGAGAGGAGGGTAAGAAAGGTAAGTGGCCTAACCACTTTGGCGCAAGTGGTACCGAAGTACTGTAGGTGTTGATGGCGATGAGAGAGGGGTGGCCGATATCAGCGGTGAGCATCTGACGAGGCGAGTGTGGTCATACAACAGGAGGCAGGCAGGAGACGGCAGGAAGTGCAGAGAAAGCAGCTGTAGAAGGGCAGAGTGGATCGTCAGCTAGGCAGTGAATAGTCTCAAGCTAGTTATACAACTGAGCCATTGGAGAGATTGTTGAACTTCGTTCTTGTGAGATGGCGCGCTTTGCATGGGAGTTTTGGAATTGGTCCCGGATCGTGGAAGTGGTCGAGTATTGCGTCTAGTTCAATGGGAGGTTCTTCGTCACAGGTGAACTTGACAGTCCCCTCTTCGAGCCGTTGGATGAGTTCTTGGACAAGCATTGCGTTATTGTATGGTTTCGTGGTGTAGAACGAGACACCAGGCGTGTTGAGGAAGGCTAGTTTGGTTGTAGATGCAGGTGAGGTCGGTGATGGAAGGTGGAGATGGTCTCTCATTGGTGGGTGTTGGTGGAGGCTCGACGGGCAGCGAGGCCTCTGATTGGTTCTTGGCAGTGGTGGTGGCTTGAGGAGGAGGTGGTCTCTCATTGGTGGATTCTGAAGTAGAGCAGGTGGCGTCTGCAGATAACATATCTTGCAAGTCATTTGGTGCCTCGAAGCTGACGGTTTTCGGAATTATCTTCGAAATATCAGCTGAAGGAGGACTAGCTGGGAAGTTGAATGATGGCATATTGTTGAGAGCAAGAATTTCATTCATAAATGTGTTGAAAGAAGCCGGGTTTGCTGCATTTTGCATGTATGCATACATCATGCAGTAATAAAATTTTGTTGAGATATGGTCGGGTAGAGGAGAGGCGGTGGGGGGTGGAGGCTGTTGAGTGGCTTGTAGAATCTTGGTGGTTGTAGACTGAAGCTTGGCTACTTCAGCATACGTAGGAAAGTTTCCTGTTGTCTTCTTAAGGTCTTCCTTTAGCGTCTTTGAAAGGATCTCTTTACGAACAGGACATTTGGCTGCCAGAGTATGGTGGTCGCTCTTACAGTTGATGCAGGTGGGAGCAGTAGAGGTGCAGGAACGAAAGTCGTGACCATCAGACCCACAGGTGGAACAGATCTTGTTCTTCACATGACATTCGGTAGTTGAATGATTGTAGGAGTAGCATGTCCAACAAGGTGCTATATGGCTGAAGCGTTCTGGCTCAATCTGTCGAGGGTTGATGAAGCAGTAGATGTCCAGGCCATCAGACAGTGCTCTGGTTGCAATGGTGACGTCACACGATGAGACATCGTGGAGGTGGTAGAGGTTCCCCTCCCCAACGGGGATCATAGGGATACTGGTTGACAAGAGCAGGAGCGTCTGTGACCTTACAGGACGAAGTCCTGTGAATCTATGTGTGAGAATGATTAACTTCGATTGGCCAGATGTGTCAAGTGACGAAATACTCAGGGTTGACTGGCGAGTAAGCGGTACATGTACGCTCACTCTGAGGTATATCCTAGGCCACCTAAAATTTATTTTGGGGCTAATATCTCCATAAATGCTAATTTATGGAGATATTTATGTAACTAATATTCCGGGAATAAACTTGATACTGAATGAACACTAAGAATGAAGAAACACTGCAGTAGGTCTATAGGCCTATGCCAGTTAGGCCTACCTATCACATCGAAATCTCAGCTATGTGTCCGATCAGTCATAACTAAGATCATATTAACAGCAACGGTCATTTTTCACTTAGCTATGAAGATTACTTACACAAAAACTGTCTATGGGAATCACACGTTTTCTATTCTAACAACTTAGTAGGAGGATGTGACAGATATATTCATGTGTTAGTTTATTATGCTAGATACGAAAATGTCTTCTCAGGCTCAAAGTTCAGACAAGTTCATAATCCTTGAATGTGAAAGGTCAGATAAATAATCAAATAATATAGATTTTAAGTTTTATTACTTACTAATGAATAACAAAATATATTTATAACAGCGGCTTGAGTAAAGCTCACGAGTGTTACAATGTCTAAAGAATTATTTTAATTAGTCATTCATTATTTTAGATTTTTTATTTTTTTTTTAAATTAAGACACTGGAGTATAATTTTTTTAAATTATATCAAGACTCCTCACGTACATAATTACAAAAGTTTAACATAAACAACAAGACTCCGCCACCAAGAAAGACAAACAGACGCTTTTTTTGAAAATCACATGTAGCGTCCAAAGCCGCCCAATATGTATTTATTACATGTAGACAAAATCATCTGCTGTCTATCAACGGCCTTTAGGCTTGCAGGCAAGTATGCTTGGTCATCCCTGTTGGAAGAAACAGTTCATTATCTCTTACAAGTGACGAATATATTTTATCATATACTGTGCATTTATAAACATCCAACATTACTTTTACAAGAAGATATCAATATAATAAAGATTAAGATAATAATGTAAAGATGTGCATTGTGACTCATTTTAATGAAAGGTTTGAGGGGTTGTTGAGGTGGTTTGGACATCTGGAGGGAATGGAGAAAAATAGGACGTATAAATCTGGGGTAGAGGGAAGGAGTGAGGATCGTCCCTAGGAAAGGATAGAGGAAGGAGGCAAAGATTTTGAGAGGCTTGGACATCTAACAGACTTGAGTGAACGTGTTAGAAAGGAGTGGAGGCAAGAGGATTTTATGATTTGACGTGTTGCTGCAGTGTGAACAGAAAAACATTCATGAAGTAGTCTGCACTCAGGAGGAGAGGCGGGGATGTAGCGGTCTGGAGCGTTATCTTAACTGCGATATCTGCGACCTTCTAGCAGGACTGATTGAATGAGTGACTGTTGTCTTTGTCAGGTCACCCTGCCTCGTTGGGGGACGGCTGTATGACCCATAAGAAATGATCTACAGCGCCTAGGGAATGAGAAATAATCAGGTTTGATCCGAGGAACGGGAGGGTAGTTCCAATTCCTTGAATCAAAAGCCCTTCCCCAGCATCAAAGCCTTCCCTTGAAGGGTTAAGAATATACAATGTCTGGGGAATGGGAGGTGGGTGGGGGTAATTATGTCTTATCTGAGGAAGAAAAAAGTAACTTCAACATCTTGGATAAATAAATAGCCTCACACGAGCATCAAGGCGCCGCTCTTCAAACGACTTACCGTTTTATATAAGGCCAAGTTTAGAACGACAGCTTTCATATAAAGCTCCAAATTCTCCAGTGAGTGGACCAAAGCAGGCGTACCTGACAAAAGTGGAATCTCAACATCTGTACAAGGATAGCTCCACCGTGCAATCCGCGCTACAAACGATGTTTATAAAGGTCAAGTTTAGATAAGAAGACTTTCATATAAAGCTCCATTTCCAGTGATGAAAGCAGGCGTTCCTACCCAGCTTGTGAATTTTCACATATTTGTACAGGTGTTGTATTCGTCCGTTGCAATCTGAGGTACAAAACGATGTATTACTACGGTAATATTCAAATAAGATTTGAAGGAACTGACTTTGAATCATCGTATTAATAATCGACGTCAGATGCGAATGAAAGATTATTTTCCACTATTTGAGAAACTCATTGTTAATTTCTGTACTGTTGTTAGATATTGCCAGACAAACACAATCAAGCGCTGGAACAACACAACTAAATAAATGGAAACACAATGACCATTGTAAATCATCACATACTTAATAACGATCCACCGGAGAATAAATTTTTTTAATATATTGTAATTATCGTATATGTATAATGTACACATACACTACAAAAACACATAACACATACATCACATCACACACTAACTATATATATTATATATATATATATATATATATATATATATATATATATACATACATATATATATATATATATATATATATATATATATATATATATATATATATATATATATATATATATATATAATATATATATATATATATATATATATATATATATAATAATATATATATATATATATATATATAATATATATATATATATATATATATATATAATATATATATATATATATATATATATATTTACAAACATTATCTCACGGTCCACAACAGGACTCGAACCTGCAAACTTTGCATCACAATACACAGTACTTTACCTTAGCATGCTTTCCCATGTAGTTACGGATAATGTTGGCAGCACAGGCCAGATCATTGGCACAGTCCTCAAAGGCTGAAAGAATTAAAAAGTTAACGATTGATTTTAAAACCTAAAACATTACATGTATGTAATAGTATGAAATTCACATTTAACATTTTAAATTTCCGTGTCTCCAATTTTGGCAATGTTTAGCATACGAAATATTATATATATATATATATATATATATATATATATATATATATATATATATATATATATATATAAACACAAACCTATATTTTTAAAACTCAAACGAAGAAACATCGAAAACGATAAAAATATTTAATTTCCATATAAAAATGTTTTACCATTTTTAAAGTAAGTTTTTTATTTATAGATAAATAGACAGCCCTACTGACCTCCCTGTCTGGATTTAGCCCAGGTCGGACTAACTTGTCAGTGCCCCAGCCAGTAGGCGTGTGAAAGAAAGATCCCAGTACCATTAGGACGTCCGGGGTTTTGACACACTTGGTGGGGCTTCACACAGAAAAACCCAGGCAGTTTCATCCACCGGGGCATTTTCCCTGACCTGAGCCGTAAAACTACGATTACTTCTAGAAGTCAAAGTTACGCTGGTCACCTACCCTAATATTCTCAAAAAATTTTTAAATCATGATAAAGATAAATCCGTAGGGGTCACACAGCGCCTGGGGAAAGGGAAGGGAAACCCAAATTTTGATCCAAGGAAGGGGAGGGAGCGGGAATTCCTTTGTTCAAGGTTCAGTATTCAATACCACCGAAGCCAGTTTATCTGTAACACAGTTGTGGAATCGTTATGGGGGTTTTTAAGACAAAATTACCCGACATACTTCGAAAAATGTGCCCATTAAAGGTATTTTAAACCCTACCTGCAACTTTAAGAATTTCAAAACTCAAAGTATTTTCAAAAATTTTACTCGCCATTTATAACGTGTAAATGATAAAAATTATTTTACATTAATTTAAATTAAAAAAATTACTAACAAAAAGGCATTGAAAAATTACAGGCTTAAGGATAACTAATGATAATCTAAGTCAGCAACACGGGGATAGCAGTAACACGTTCAACATTCGGGAAGGCATACGTTCCTGTACACAAAGGTAGGAGGCGTTTTTCGGGTTCAATTTTTGGAAATTTTTGTTACCTGCAAAAGCAAAATATGTCACTCAAGGATGAAGTCCCCATAATATTACGCAACAAGTGTAAGATACTACATTGTCCTCAGATAGGCCACACGTTATTACGCAACACGGGCAGGAGCTATCAGTCATTCAGGTAAAAGGGGTATCTATCTGTTATTGCGCAAAAGTGATAGTGACCACCAGGTATGGCCATCGTGTTTTTTTGCAACATGCAGGCGGTTTTGTCACTGAGGGGAGGTCAACTGGTTAGGAATGCGAAAACCCTTTATGGGCGTTTCCAGTTTTCCTTTTTCCACTTCTTTCTTTTGCGGGTTAGGGGTAAATGAAAGTCAAGGGACCTTGAGCCAACTGGACCCGGTGATCAAAGGCCACACCAACACGGGGTCAGATCACACCGACACGGGTCAAGACCCGAGTGTCTTGGGGCAAGTCCACACTAGATTGGTGGTCAGATCACGACATATTGGTGGGGCAGGGGCCCCACCGGCTTAGTGTCAAGCACACCGGATGGGGCCTTTGCTTATGAAGTGGGTCTTTACCCGGGGTGGCTTCCGGTTCACGGCCCCGGGCCATCTGGATCGCTTCCCGGGAAATCACGGCCCCGGCCAGATTGCTGGGTCTGGGCAGGCCAGGCCAGCTATGGCCTACCGTCAAGTGTTGGCCACCCCAGCAGTACAAACCCGGGTTTGCTGGGAATCCCTTTATCACGGGGTGGAAAGTCTGGTCCCTTAAACTTAAAAAAGTTCGTGTACTCATTTCTTCCCCGCTTTTATGGAGGGATCTTTTAATTTTTTAATTTTTTTTTGGGGGGCCGGCAAAAAACCGCGGGGCCTAGTTTAAGTCCAAAAGGTCCAGTATGGGTCAATATGACAAAACCCGCGCAGAAAACATTTTCCGTTTTCCTACAAATTTTATTAACCCCCCATTTTCCAACGTCTTGTGTTCAAATTTTTGTAATTTTTTGGTTGAAGGGTTTTAACAAAATCCTTCCGTATGTCTGGTGCGATTATTGTACGTTTTTTATTGGGGTGGGCAGTTGGGTTTTTCGAAAACGTGAAACCCATTTTAAAAATATTTATTTAATTTATTTTAATTTTTTTTTTAATTTTAATTTAAAAATTTTTTAATTTTTTTTATTTTTTTTTTTATTTTTAAATTTTTATAATTTTAAATTTTATTAATATAAAATTTTTTTTTTTTAAACACCCGGAAAAGGGGGTGGGAAAAAAAAATTTTAATTATATATATTCGGAAGGGTGCTTTTTTTTAAACTGTTTTTAGGGGGCCGATTTTTTGGGAATGGTGGTTTTTTTTACAAAACCAAAATTGGCCCCCCTTGGTTTAAATTTTAAGGTGGGTTTTCTTAACCATCCTTCCGGTAGGTCACTGGGGGAGGGCCCCTAATTGGAGGGGGGCCCCGGGGCAGGGCGGGGGGTGTTGGGGGTCTGGGAGGGGGGCCTGGGGGGGGTTTGGGCCTGAAATAATTTGTTTAGAGGAAAACCGGTTCCCCTGGGGGGTTTGCTGGAATTTTAAATTTTTTTAGGGAGGGGGTTGGGGTGGGGGTGGGTTTAAAATTTGTTTGGGGGGGTGTTATTGGGTTTGGGGGGGTTTTGGGGGGTATTTTGGGGGTTAAATTTTTTTTTTGGGGGGGGGAGGGGAAAAGGGGCGGGGCCCGGGATGAAGGGGGTTAATTTGGGTCACAAGGGGTAAAAAGGGGGGAAAAAAAGCCCGGTATTTGGGGGAAAATTTAATTCCATTTTTGGGTCTTTTTTTTTAAAAATTCGGTTTTTGGGGGGGGGGGAAATTTTTGGAAAAGGTGGTTTTTTTTTTTGGGGTGGGTTTTTTTTTAAAGCTTATATTCAATGTTAAAGTTGGGGGATAAAAAAAGGGGAAACAATTTTTGGGGTTAAACCCCTTTGAATTTTTTTTTAATTTAATAAATTATTTAAAAAAACCTAAAAAATTTTAAATAATTGAAATAAAAGAATGTATTTTATACGGAATTTTTTTAAATTTTTTTTCAAAAATAATTGGGGTAAATTTAAAATTTATATATTATTAATTAAATTTTTTTTTTTTTTAAAACCCACCGGAAAACCCCCCAACCCCCCCCCCCCCCGGCCCCCCCCCCCCCCCCCCCCCCCTGCCCCCCCCCAAAGGGGTTTTTACCCAAAATTTTTAACTAAACCATTACCCCCCCCCCCCCCCCCCTTTTTTAATGCCCAGGCCAAGGCCGGGGGCCGGGCCGGGGGGTTTCCCCTGAATCCCTTCATAAATTTTAACTTTGTTTTCACACTCCAAAAACACTCAAGTTTTAAAAAAAACCATTTGTCTCCATTCACCCTATCAAACACCTCACGCATGCCTGCTGGAATTTCCAACCCCCTGGGCACCCAAAAACCCCCTTTTAAACGCCCTCCCCCAACCCCTCCAAAGGCCGACCCCACCCCCCCCTTCCCTTTTCCACAAACAGACGGGATCACTTTGAATTCATTTTTTTTCGCTCCCATTTCCTCTAAAAGTCCAAACCCACCTAAAACAACCTTCCTCAGCCCCGGGGACAACGTTTTGGAAATCCCGCCCTCCCCCTAACCCTTCCCCCCCCAAACAAACGAATTCTCTGCATTATTTTCCCACACCAAAACATTCCCCCCTCAGACATGACATTTTCCCACTGCCCCCACCTTCTCCTCGCTGAAAACATTCATAAACCCCGCTTCACCCCCATAAAAGAGCGTTGGTAAAACTATACTCTAACATTCCCCTTTTTGCCTCCAAGGAAAAAGGGGTTTTTTTGTCCCCAACAGACCCCCCTAATTTGAAACCACTCACTTTTTTTTCCCTTTCATAAATTTTCCTAGGGATTCACCTATTTTTCATAGACCCACCCGCTGCCCAACGCCCACCCCCAAAAAATATTGAATACGTTCACCCCCTCCATACTCTCTCCCTCCAAAATCTGATATT